AGTTTGAAGTACTCATGCCAATCATACCAGTCAACTCTGGGTTAGGGATGGATTAAGACATTGAAAGGGGAGGCATGTTAGCAGGAAATTCTTCAGGGACTATTTGAAAAACCTGTTGGACTCATTAGTCCTCAGGGTAGAACAGCTGAACTGTTTCTTCATTCCTGAAACACAGAAATTAGGAAACATCAATAAGCTTAATATTACTAAGTAATAATTTTCCATGAGAAGTACATGAGGACTGAAGTCATCAAGGACCAAGAACAGGGAGTTCTCAATACCAAGCCAAGAATACTTTTCTCCATACAGGTCGGGAGAACATTTGGTGGCATGTAGGCACTATGCCAACAGATTTCACAGTTTATGCAGAGAACCTGTTCAAGCACTCAAAATTGGGACTGTAGAATTAAGAAACTAAAGAAAATGCGGTCCTTGCTGATTATGGCAAAACACTTCCCTGTTTATCAAGCTTTGGCTGGTGCTGTACCCAAAACTGTCTGGACACAATTGATATGGGTCAGCTCATCCTTTCTCATTCAGTCAGGTATCTGCAATCCAGGCTAGTTCAGTACTTTCCTAATATTATACTATATAATATAATGCAATATTGTTGGCACTGTGACAAATATACAAAAATTCTTGTTCAGAGACATTTCTAGATGGGAGGGAGGAATTTCTCTGAACAAGAAAGCTTTGTCCTGATATCTTAGGTACCAAAATTGACAACATATCTTATTTAAGGCTTGATTCTCCCATTTACCGTACCAGTGACTCTAGACCAGTGGTGGCGAACCTTTTAGAGACCAAGTGCTCAAACTGCAACCCAAAACCCACTTATTTATTGCAAAGTGCCAACGCTGCAATAAAACCCGAATACTGAGGTTTTAGTTTAGAAAAAACAACTCATAGTCAGTCCAAGCAAATATATATATATCCTTGGCCAAGCAAAAGCTTGGACGAGTCGCAGCTAATGAGCTAATGTGATGTCATTGCCTGGCGCCGCTACTCATTTACAAGCATGCGCATGGCCCCTCCGTGCGCAGTTATCCGATACTCAGCTGCTGGAGCGATGCTGGGACAACTTGGCTTGCATGCTGACAGAGAGGGCTCTGCATGCCCTCTGTGGCACAAGTGCCATAGGTTCACCACCGCTGTCCTAACCCTACCCTGGTGCACTCCCTAACCCTAATATAGGGGTAAAATACCATTGAAAAGGGTGATTTTGAATAACCCTTCTTTGAGTAGCTTTTTCTGCACAGCTCAACATTTCTGCCCATTCTAAACACATTCCAAAATCATGCCAGGACACCTCGTTTTTCTAACCCTAACCCAGTGATGGTGAACCTTTTAGAGACCGAGTGTCCAAACTGCAACTCAAAACCCACTTATTTATCACAAAGTGCCAACACTGCAATCAATCTTGAAAACTGAGGTTTTAGTTCAGAAAAAACAACTCTCAGCCAGACCAAGCAAATACACACACACATCCCTGGCAGTTGCTGACCGGCCATGCAAAAGCTCGGATGAGTCGTGGCTAATGAGTCATGGCTCGTGACATCATCACCTGGTGCCGCTACTCCTTTGCGAGTATGCGCTGCTATCTGATGCTTGGCTGCTGGGGCGATCCTGGGGCAACTTGGCTCACATGCCGACATAATGGGATCCGTGTCCCCGCTGTGGCACGCATGCCATAGGTTCGCCACCACTGCTCTAGACTTATGAGAAATAGTTATACATAGGAATCAACTGAAAGATGCGTGATCAGGCCATCCCAGGTGCTAATTACCTAGTCTGAATTACCTTTTCTCTGAGAGTTGTCAACTGGCATAGAAATGCTTTTGTTTGTGAACTCTTCCTTTGACTTTGAGCAGCTGGGGAAGACTCCTGACTAAACAGAGCTGTGAAGTCCCAGGTTCTCCACAGACACAATACCTAATGCTTCCAGCCTAACTCACCTCACAGGGTTGCCGTTGTGTGGATAAAAATGGAATGAAGGAGAGTTACATAAGCCACCTTGGGTTCTTTGCTGTAGGTGAAAAGGTGGGATATAAATGCAGTGTAGTAGTAGTAGTAGTAGTAGTAGTAGTAGTAGTAGTAATAGATTTATGCTGCTCTGGAAACTCTGGGAGGTTAAGTGTAAGGGCTGAGTGGTGTTACACCAGTATTACATTGGTTTAGAAAAGTTTTTTTCTACCTAGTTTTAATAGAGCTTTGAGAAATTTACAGTGGAATTTGTAAATTCTAGTAGAAAGTGCCTCTGCCTAATTTTCCTCACTTCACCCTGAGCCTCCTACACAACAGTCCACACTATTTAGCATTTTGAGGCTAGGGGCATTGCTGGGAGGAAGTGGTATTTCTCCTTATTGGCATGTTTCTCTGTAGCCAAGCCTATATAAATAGAAGGGTAAGAAATGAATCATATTCATTTACAACAATGTAAAAGCATATGTGGCACTCAGGGTGGGTGGATTGGTAGAGCTGTAGAAATTACTGTCAGGCGTAATTAGCAGGCTTGTTCTGGTTTGTAATCAAAATGTACTTCTGATATTATTTCTCTTTAAAATGCTAAATTAGACCGCAACATCATTAGCAACCTCTTTGAACAGAAGAGGTGTGCTTCCAAGCTATCTTTGTTGTAAACCATCCAGAACAGGCAGTATAGAAATGAAACAACAACAACAGCTCCTCATCATCATCTTTAGAGTTGGTTAACCATTTGTGAAATTGCGCATTTTAAAATCTGTCTCCCATTGCAAATCTTGATAAGCCCCACTGTGCAGGATCTGAGAAAATGCTTTGGCATGTTCTCCCCATATCACTTTCAGCATACATACAGGTGTTAACAAGCATAATGGTAAGAATTAAAGTGTTGTTTCAGTCATGTTCTACTATGGTTGGCAAATATCTCTTTTCACTGGGAATGAGGTGAAAAGACAAACTCAATAATTTTGAAAATTTGCATTTCTATACCACCTCCAAAGAACATATTTTTACATTAAATGTTGCAAGTCAGACTGTTCAGATCCACTGCCCCCATAGCAAATGAGTCAAAGTAAGAATTGTATTCTACCAGTACACTGGAGAGGATGTTCTTTCGTTGAGTGCAAGCATGGCACATTCTAGTCACTGGTAATGCAATGGTGTTGTTGTTGTTAGTGTTGTAGTTAGTCGCGAAGTCATGTCCACCCATCACGACCCCATGGACAACATTCCTCCAGGCCTTCCTGTCCTCCACCATCCCCCGGAGTCCACTTAAGCTCACACCAACTGCTTCCGTGACTCCATCCAGCCACCTCATCCTCTGCCGTCCCCTTCGTCTTCTGCCATCCATTGTCCCCAGCATTAGGCTCTTCTCCAGCAAGTCCTTCCTTCTCATTAGGTGGCCAAAGTATTTGAGTTTCATCTTCAGGATCTGGCCTTCTAAAGAGTAGTCAGGGTTGATCTCCTCTAGGACTGACTGGTTTGATCACCTTGCAGTCCAAGGGACTTGCAGGAGTCTTCTCCAAAACCCCACGGACATTACCAAAAGGCAAAAATGCAATGGTATATTGGAGCAATTATAGGAGCACATTATGTTGATAAGCTTTCCATTGAATAGACTGCAGCTGGGTTCAGACAACATACGAAGCTATGGATTTGTTTGTTTGACTATTGTTGGCATGCCAAGTTGTCAGAACCTAGCCATGGTATTTCATCATGGCAAGTTTGGTCTTTAAAAACCATGATTGCAAACAACAGTTCTATTGTTTCTTTGTATCATTACGACTTACCATGTTGTCTGACCCCATGGTTCTGGTCTGCAACTACCACTGATACCTATGGAAGGAATGGCAACTGCAGGAGCCAGACTAGCCATCCAGCCTGTATGTGTGGACCAGTGAGGAAGAGGCAGCAACATAGGCAGGGGCCAATGCGCCCTGGGCTTGAATTTCAGGTGCAGTGGCTGATGGGATACATGCCAACAATGGGAGGACTCAGTGGAGAGTGTGGAAACCACAGTACATTAGATATTATCAGGTAGCTCATTCTAAAAACCTTGAACAATGATAACCATGCAGGGTTGCTTGTCATGTTGTGTGGATGTAGGCAATGTTTAAGAAAAAGACTGAATACTGTATACAGCAATTCCAGATTCTTCAACTGAAATCAGTATACCTTTCCTCCAGATTTAACAAAATAGGCCAGGATCGTGAGTTTGCTCCTACTGATGGGAGCAAGCACTCCCTTAAATGGAGTTCTGCTCATAGCAATTCAGAACAATGGAAGGGGTAAAGGTGACCTTCCCATTCCTCCTGCATGCTCTTGCACCCCTGAAATAGGGTTCCAGGGGGCTGCAGAACCCTCTCAACAGTGGGAAGGGCTTCAAGAGGAGGCGAATCTACAAAATGTGCCTTCACCACCATCCTTTGCCTTCAGCCAGTAGGATCGTTTACTAGATCTTGATCGTACGAATAGAAGGGTGCCTCAATTAACCAAACAACTTCATAATTCACCAAATGTATTTCTCAAACATTTTTGAAGTAGGCTTGCCCAGTTTCACAAGTGATTTCCTTGGTTAAATGATAGAAATTACAGCATGAACTCAGCTTTTGACAGTTGCAGCAAGTTTAGGTATTCTTTTGGTTCAGTTTGCCTACTTCAGTATTGTTAAAATTTCCATTATGATGTGTTGTTTTGCATCATAGTCTTTCTCTTTCTTTCCCTTTAAGAATTTGTAGAAGAAATTGCAAATCCCCCCATCCTGTATATTTAGAATACTCTTCTGTTTGCTGTCCTTGCATCTTTCAGTACCCTGTGATTGAACTCACTAAGTGTCTGTGTATCTGGAAGAATGACATGATTAAGTTATCACTCTAAGTTGATATTCTTACATGCACTTAACTGGGAGTAAGCCTCTTTAAGCTCAGTGTGCCTTGCTTTTGAAAAGAATATACACAGGGTCAGGTGATGTATCATTTGGAAAGACAGCACCTTAACTTTGTATTTGACTTTCTTTATAGGTTCGCAAGCATGTGAATGACCTGTATGAAGACCTGAGAGATGGACATAACTTGATTTCACTTTTAGAAGTTCTTTCAGGAGACACCTTGGTGAGCTTTTCATCTTTGCTCAACAGCCTCAGGCCTCAGTGTGGTTGCAAATTTAATTGATACTGGATATTGGCTTTCTTAATTCAATGTTTCTATAACTAGAAGAAACAAGAGAATGTTTTACAATTACATATTAATTAGTTATTTCTGAATAGTTTGGCAATTTTGTTTGCTGATTCCCTTCTATAAATTGCCTTTTCAGTCTTATCTTTTTAAAAAACAAAGTTCTCCAGCAGATGTGGGATGCTTAATATTCTTTTCCCATTAAAAACTGCAATTTTACAAGTATCAGTGGAAAAAGGTTCCCACCTGTAATTGTCTAACACTCCCCTCTGGTGCCATTTCTTTTTGTTGTGAGCATTACTACTTTCCTTGCTTGTCATTTGTTCCCTTCATTATATTCTTCTGTTCATATTCTTCTCTTCATTTGTGGTCTGTCTTGTGTCTTTGCTCTCCTGTCTCCTGTCTGTTATGTTCATTAGCCAAGGGAGCGAGATTTTTTGAAGACCTTACGGTTGGTGAGTTCAGCAGAAGCATGCCCGTTTGAACAGCATGAGGATGAGGAGGATGAGGATAAGGGGGTAGGTGCCGACCCCCATAACTCTACTAATGTAGTTTTTGAAGAGTGGTGATTGCTAACTTGAAAGTAATGTTTTAGTGTGGTGTTGTGCTGTAGTGTACTAGAAAGCATTGGGATGGGAGGGTGATTGGGAAATTGAACTACGGGACATGCTTTAATGTGAAATAATATTGGCACTGCTGGTGATGTTGGACAATCTTTCAGGATGCTTTGAAATGACTGGGAAGCTACAAAGAGACTTTTGTACACCTTTTCTATTGCTGGTAGATTCTCTCTTTCTTTTAAATAGTCCCATTTTCAAACTGCAATAATTTAAAGTATTTCCGATGTATTTATTTGTTTTGCAGTGATGCTGCAGATGTGCCAATAATACTTTTAAAGAAGGATGAATGATGCCACAGATTCAGTAAACCAAGTTCTAACTAACTGAAGTTTGAATGTGATAATGTGATTGTTATTTCACTTGTAATATGTTTCATTTAATCTGAAACAGTAACAGTGCCCATCGCAAGGAGCAAAGAACACAATTTTGAACAGTTCAGGAGGCAATAAATGAGATGGGATGGGAGGCAAGAGAGGAGCAATGATATTGAGGGACAAATGTGATTGATTGCAGAATTAATTAATGAAGTTCAGTGTATTTGTGAATTTACTGAAGATTTAATAACTTTCACCCAGCAGATGTAGGAATAGCTGATACAGATGTGAGTTATGCTGCACAGAACAGATACCTTGTTTTTTCATAGGATTTTTTTTTCTACAGCAGAAGCTGAGGTAGCATTTTTAATAATGCTTTTTGTCTTCCAGATGGAAAATACCTGGTTATAAACAGTACGGCAAGACATTGTGTATTGATTTGCCCCAGACAGGTTGCTTCATTCCTATACAAAGCTGACATTAAAAAAATCTTTCTCAATCTAAAACTAAAAGATCTTTTTGAGGTATCTTCTTGCATGCACTTACATGTTCTGCCAAGTTTTTACACTTACACTTTTGTGTGTTTTAAAAAGGTCAGAAAATACCTCAAACAGATCTGGATTTATTATGTGTTAAAGGTATTTTCCCTATAATGTCTGGTGCTCTTACTTTCTGTTGATCATGGATATTATGATTATGAATCTTGCCTTTCTGTATTTAGTGTATTCAAACCATTTACCAAATTCTTTCTCCTCTCTGATCCATTCATGAGAGTTTTGCCTGTTAAAGTCGGAAAAATTAAGTCCTATACATGCTTAGACACTCTAGGTCTTATTTCTGAACAGATACAAGCACAGAATTACATTGTTAACTATGTAGATCAACTGTCGTTTTTATAAAGACTCATTTGGACACAACTCTTAGAGTACTTAGTCTAGAGTAATTTGCTTTAAGAAATGCTATCGTCAGCAGTGCTTTGTTGCGCAGTTCCTCATGTCTGTCGTTCTGAGCCATAATGGCACTCTTAAGGCCTGATGGTTTGGATCCTGAGTTCCCTTCTGCTGGCAGGAGCATTCTGAGGGCAGGATTTGACTCACAGGACAATCCTGTTGGTGGAAGGGGGAAGAGGCATTTTTCATCAATTTCCTTTGCAGCTTCTTATACCCCTGGAAATCTACTCTGCAGGCAGCATATTATTTTAAATTGTTGTTTACTACCTCAATTGCTTTTCAGCAAATAAACAACATATACATATTAATTATAATAAGATAAATTGGGCCACTTCCCAGGACAGTGGCAGGGGCTGCACAGGGTTGCCCTAAACCCTTCCACTAGCAGAATTCTCCACTGGATGAGATCTTCCATGAATACATGGAACCCTTCCGTCCACCGAAGTGACATTTTGGATCTAAACCATTGAAAACAATGGAAGAAAGCACACTTAGTAGTATTTTGGATTGTAGCCTTGATTTAAATGAAAGTATTCCACAGTAAGTAGTCACTAAACTTATTTTCAAGTGACACTTCACATTGTATTTAAATTTATGCTCCCCCCACCATTTTTTCATTTTCATGGTATTTCAAAGGTACATGGTGATTAAGGCAAATAAAAATGATTAGAAATACTTGCATTGTTGTGTTTGGAGCTACACAAATTATATAGGTTGAATTAGTGAATTCAGTCCATAACATTAATGCTAGCACGTCATTTCCATTTGCTTATGCTTGCTTCTATACAGGTGGGTCTAAAACTCCCATTATGCTGTAGTGCGGAAGTTGCTGCTGGAAGCTGGGGTAGTACTACTGTGGGTAATACTGTGGCTCCCCCTATGTGGCCCAGAGTTTCCTTCATCATTTTGGTAATAAATGAAGGAATGACATTGAAGCTGCTTCTGCACTGTTAGCAGAATGTGGCTATTCAGTCCAAAATGTTTTATACTTGCCATTTCTGATTCTCCCTGGGATCATCCTGATAAATTATAATACTGTTTCATGATGGTATTGGCATGTCTGAGACTAGAGCAAAGTAAGTGCCTAGCATTAGCACCTAACATATGGGGCATTTGCCAGGGCACTAGAACACTGGGAGGCCCATCTTTTCCCCCCCCCCCCCAAAAAAAGATCTGGCTAAAAGCCCCAAGTTGCATTAGGCAGCTGGATCCAGATTAATATTAATCTGCCATCACATCCTCCATAACAGCACTCTGAGGCATTGTGGGAAATTAAAATGGCAGCCTCACCAAGCTGTGTTTCACTGCTTGGAGTTTTGTTGGTGCCTGCCTCACCACCAAGTAAGCTCAGAAAAGCTAGCCTACCGGTGATGAGGAGCTATAGCAGATGGTGCTTTGTCCAGCCTCCTTAAATCCCAAACTCAGCCTGGGTACAAACAGCTTTGAATTTCAGGCCACACTCTTAGATTTAGTGGAGGTAACTATCAACTAGCAAGTTATGTGCTGGAAAGAAAGATTACTGGAGGCTTACTTTTTTCCTCGCTTGCTTTTATTTTGTGTGAGTCACCAAATCACTTTTCCCTCCTGAGTTGTGGTTCATGCAGGGCTGGCTCCAAACCCCAGTGGGAAAAAGGCTTGCTGGATGCTTGGTCTTGTGGAGAGCACATGAGAAAGAATCAACATCTCCTGTTGGGCTCTGGAATATTGGGGGGCATATTTCAGTGCTCCATAGGAGGAAGGGAAGCTTGCTGTGGCCTTGAAGAAGCAAAAACAGCTCATTCAGTTATATGTGCAAATAAGCCCTTACTTTTTTGGCTGGCTTTATGGAGTTTTCTGAGGAAACATTCATTGCTGAGCTGTAGAACTTACTGTGTTGTAGCATGCTTCTGCCCATTTCCGCAAAGGTTTGTGAAAAATCTAAAGTCAGGAAGAAAGAAATTTGGATTTTACAGTCATACAAATCTAACTTTTCTCTCATAGCTGTTCTTAGAAGGCTAAGTGAACAGTGTCATTTTTATGTAATTCTTCCTCTTTGTGATTTTACACTAACTGCATGCAGTTTTGCCATGTTTACCATTAATCTGCTGTATTTGTTTTATTTAACAATGTATTTAGCTTTCTTCATGCATGTTGTGCTTTGTAAGCATTTCCAAGGAACAGGTTGCACAACTATATAGTACTGCTTGACATTCTACAAAAAAAATATTTGAAGATTGGACCTTATGTGGTTTTTCCAACATGCGCTTGCCTCTAGTGTGTTTGAATAAATTCTCTGATTTGAATACACATGGGAAGTATTAAGTTGTTCAAAATGGACCATCCACATGGATTTTTAAGACATTTGTATTTGTAAAAGTTGGTCAGAATGCAGTATTTTGATCATCGGTCTCTCTTGAAAAATCCAGGTGTTTTTCCAGTTTAAATGTAAGCTATATGTATATATGGAAAAGGCTTATTTATCTCCAAGTAAGAAGCTAACAATGAAAACATTTGAATGTGACAAGTATGTTCATAAATTTATGGATCATAGTTAATTACAGTTCCTTGAGTACATGTTTGGTGGTGAACATTGGTTTATCATTAAATAATATGTGAAATTGTCCCTATGCTTCTCATTTTGCATAACTTTCTTGAGAGCAAAAGGACTAATAGGGTGCATTCTACACAGGCACTTGGTAGAATGCATTCTCTTACTCACGAATGTGCCTCTAGATATATTTTTGGTACATTCTAGCAAGCACTACTGTTCCTTAGTCTCAGTGTATTCCAGGTGCAGCTGTTTGGGCAATCCCAGTTTAGTTGAGATTGTGTAACAGAAGCTGTTGGAGAAGTGTTGTGAAAGGGTGTAATCCAGCATATGGCTGTGTTCCTACATCACAACAAGTAACCCTGCGTGATTTCCATGCTTCAAACTTATTTGCATGGACATGTCTGACATTAATCAGGGTCATCATTGGTAGCTCTCTTCATTCCGCTGTCTCTTTCCCTCTCAGTCCTCCAGGTAGTATTCCAGGAGGCAGTGGAAGGAGGAATTAGGCTCCTCTCTTTGACAGCCATGTTCGGAAACCGAATTTAGGTTGCTGCGACTGTCAAGTATTCTCTGTTGCACAAATGGAGCCCTGAAGTGCCATTGCCTTCTGCTTCAGAGGGGACTCCTGGATCAGGAGGGGGTGCCTTATCCGTGTTCAAGTGAAAAGGGGGGGGTGAATCAGCTGTGCAATGCTGCAGAAAGGAGTTGTGCCTTTCTTCGCACATGTCTGAAAATAGCTCCTCACATGCAAGACTGGGAGAGAAATCTGCTGGGATGTGGGGCCTAGTTGCAGGCTACATGGCTCAGCAGATCCCCCCTCTGCCCGTCCCTTTCACACTTGGGAACAAGTGGGCAGGAGGGGTGAGAATCAACTGGCCATTTCTGGGAAAGGGAACAGTGCTGCTCAGTTGATTTCCCCTTCTGCCCCTCTGCACACACCAGAGGGAAGCTGCTTATGTGCACACAGGCGCAAGAGGGGCAGCAATCAGCTGACTGAGAGTGCCCCATTTGTGGCAGTGCTTTTCATCCCCTTTCCTCACAGCTGCTTGCCAGAGAGGCATTAACAGCCCAGTGCCCACCTGAATGCCTCTCTGGCAAGCAGCTGTGGGGAAAGGGCACCCCCACTCAGCTGATTCCCACCTCTTTTACTCACACAAGAGAAGGGCTTCCCTCAGGTGTGTGGGAAGTGTGGCAGAGAGGGAATCCTCTGAGATGTGCAGCCCCCTAACCAGGGACCACCGTCTCACTGGTTCTCGTAGCTGGGGAGTTAACTAAGTAGCACTGCTCCTTTCCCTGTGCCGAGTTGATCACCCATTCCTGCCCCAAAAGAAGATCTTTAGGGCAAGAGGAGGTGGGGTAATGTCTCTGGCAGTTTCACAAAATGGCAGCTGTCAGTAGCATTCTCTGGCTAGCTGCTTGGCAAGAGCAGCAGTGGGCATCTCTTGCCAAGAAACTCTATGGTGCTGGCTTTGGTACCATGATGAGTTGTGTTCTCTAGGTTCTAGATGGCACATCAAGCCATTGTGGTACTCAGGAACCACAGTACATACTGTTGCTTCTGTTTGTGATTTCTAAAAATCAAACTTACCATGATGGGGTTAGGACAACGTAACAGACCACAAAGGTAAAAAGCCACTGTTGCTTGTCTTATCATGCAAACCTTCCCTGTATTTGATTAAAATTGCTTGATAACTTAACCTTTGAAGCTACTTACCCAACTCACTCTCCAAACTGCTTTTAAAAGGCCATCATTTTTGAGGTCTTGAAAGCAATTTTGGAAGGGAGTTAGCTGTTAAAAAAGGCAATTCTTCAAGAGTGATCTCTTACACCTTCCTCCCAAACTACTTCTAAAACTTAAAGGGGCATAAAACATAAAAGCAGTTTATGAGTTAAGTGGGTGTGCTAATTATAATACCTTGCCAGATATCATTGGTGGGGATATAGGTTGGCTTTGTATTTAGTGCTGGGTTATAAACTGGCAAAAGAGGGTACGGTCCTACTAAAATCAAGCACTTTTAACGACCACTGATTCCAATAGGAGAATGTTGGCACAGATTTAACTCTCCTTTGGATATTAATGGGACTTTTAAGAGCTTCACTTTGTGACCAAAATTAGAATGCACCTGCTCACTAAGGTAAGGGTTACATTGTTCCCATTTAATTTACGTTCTAAATAAAATATTTATCTGCATTAATAAAGAACTGGATTGGAACATGAAGTCCTTTATCTGGATGGGTTACTCTTAGATAGTTTCTCTTCTGCTTTCTGCTCAGCAAAGTCAAAAGTAAGCTGGATCTAACAGGCCTATAGGATAGAGACAGCCATGTTTGGAGTACAGCTAACCCAGCTCAGAATAGGCATATTCAAAATAGATAAGACCTGATATGTATGTGTAGCAGGAGTAGTGGAGACAGAGTTCACAAGGAAGCACACTGGTACTTTTTATTAGCAGGGATACTGACCTCATGTACCACTCTCCCCTCAGATTCCCCTGTTCCCACTGCAATCTTCACAGCAGCTGGGATGGATGAATTTTCCCTGTGCTAATACAAAGTGTTTTGGGCTGACTTGATCTTGAAAGACAATTAAGACCCATAAGGTTCACAGAAGATGTGTTCCTGATAGAGATGGAAACTGTTAGAACTGGGTTTTTTATATGTGGATCAACAGAGCTGCCTGCAGTTTTGTGGGAGTGACAATGCACTGTCATGATGAGTGCTTGCACTGTACCACTGATGTATATGCATTATTAAGCAGTTACAATTCATATAATGAAGCATTATCTTGCTCTGCAGTTTGGGCTTGAAATCTAATACGTATGAGCAGTTTAGTAGCTCTTTTGTTTTTAGGTTAATGGCTCATGGATATAGAGGTCTATTTACATAGTCCTTTATGTGGAATAACTCTGAAAGTCCACACCAAGTATTTATGATGCTGCATTGTATTCAAATGAACAAAAAGAGGCCACAGCAAAAAGAAAAGAAAGGACTTCTATAAAATTTAAATCAGCTACTTTCCTCCAAAGCCATTAAATTCTATGCAACCTGTTTTTCCTTTAAATGTGTGTGTTTTGGAACAGTTAGAATAGATAATTCTAGAAAACTATTACTTGCTTTGTAAATTACATTTGTTACATACAAAGCCTCACACTTTTCATTTTCTATTTTTTCAGCCTAGAGAGAAAGGTCGAATGCGTTTTCATAGACTACAGAATGTACAAATTGCACTTGATTATTTGAAAAGACGGCAGGTAAGATATTCAGCTTAAGAAACAAATTTTAAATTTAATTATTGACAAAAAGGGAAACATAGCTTATATTGTTATTTTATATTACTTGGTTTGGTTTTTAAAGAAAATTCAACTGAACCAGAGGAGAGAGAGAGAGATTTTCTCACTGACTGATTTTAGGAAATACAATTTTATACATCTTCTTCTATTTCTCATGAAATCCATCAAAGTTTACCACTAAACCACTCATGATTATGTTTCATTAAGAGGACCTACCTTGTCCAATTAAGTATTATGTTGTTGTTTGACTTGTTGAGAGCTGATAGAAGACAGTAAAAACCAGTTGGTACTAATGGGCTAGCAGTGGGGTCTCCTTTCAAGGAATACTCAGTAAAATCTGTTCCTGCACTTCAGGCTACCAAAGAGAAATGGATTCATTCTTTATCAAGTTGGGCTGCATACCTTATTGTAGCCTTCACGAATGTCAAGGATAGAGAATTTACCAGAGAACTGTCACACATGTGTACCTTTGCAGTGTGTGAGTGGTATTGCCTAAATTTCCTTGGATCCTTTCTGGCATACATCTCTTTGCATAGCCATTTCTATTTTAGAACATATTGTCTGGAACCCTTTCCACATGCTGTTTCACAGAGCAGAAAAAAGTTAATGTAACTAGAGAAAGGCTGAAGAAATTGCATGAGAGGGCTTCTGCCCCCATCCATCCCACTGCCTGCATACTCCTGCAATAGCACCTACCCATCTGCTGCGGCTGGGTGGCTTCCCTTAGGAACCCAACACTGTGTTTTAAAAGCATGTATGATTCTCATATTAATATAATGTGGGCCAATATTGGTAGTGAATTAATTCCCCCCCACATTATTGTTACAAGGCTGCTCTATTGTATGTATGACAGGTCTAGTGCCGCCTTCCAGTTCCATGTTATGTCTTAATTCTTTTGTTATCTGTTAGATATTTGCTACTTGTTTGGGGGCTTTTGTTATTAACATGTGAGTGAAGATTTCCAGATTAGAGAAAATTAATGTTGCTGAAATATATCTCCTAGAAGACAGACATTATTAGGTTAAGAATTTGTATAGGAGCAGTGAACTCCTTTTGCTAGAATGCTGGTTCCGTAACTTACATTTGGAATTTTAAAGTACTTTATGTTCTGATTTAACCAGTTGAAAGAAGGATAGAGTAAGTACATCAGACTCCTCTATCTGCACTTGGGATTTGGAGGTTACAAATGGTTTATGAGAAAATTGAGGGCATATGTTAGTGAGAAGAAAATGGGGAAATTACACCATTTCACAGCAATCATTAAGTCTATTTAGTGCATCATTTTGTGAGTTGAGCCTCAGAGTTACTGCTTAAACATTCATACCTTTCAATCCGGAGATTATTTCCTTTAAAATGTGGTTGCAATAATACAAAGAAGTCAGAAAGACCCAAGCTATTGCAGTTTAATTGTATCCTAAACAAAATGCCCAAATTTGGTAGATTTATTTAAAATTGGCATAAGATCCGATGTCTTTCTTACATCAGAGATTCTTCACTTCAGCTGGATCAGTAAATAATAGTGCAAATAAACTTAGCATAATAATAGCTCCCAAAATATTTGGAAAGTTGAATAAATTAGGAATATGGAAGTCATAAATATCACCAAAGCTTAATTCTGATTCTCCGAGACTACATCTAATATTGTTAATTAGTCATTGTGTTCACAGCTCCTTGAAGAGATGAAGAGTTGTTAGCATGCTAATTATTATTATTAGCAGTGCTAGCATTATCCATGTAAAGATTAATATAATATGCCTTGGCTGGTTTTAATAGCCAGTCTCCTGTGTGGGCTCTCTCAGTACAGCTGAACTTTTCCCCAATACAGACAGTGGAGAAAATAGCACTCCTCCTGTCAGAAGGATTTCGGCTCTGTCAGAGGTATTCCCTACTTTCCCCAAGAAGCATCAGGACAGAATTCATCTGGAAATTATCATGTGTGTTGAAAATGCAAATAACACTTTCTTTATTGCTATCATCACACGCGAGAGTCATAATGTATGTTCTTAGCTTCATTTTTTAAACTTCTTTGCAGGTGAAATTGGTGAACATTAGAAATGATGACATAACGGACGGGAATCCCAAGTTGACTTTGGGATTGATATGGACCATAATTTTGCACTTTCAGGTAAGATGACTGTTCCCCCCCCCCCCCGATGCTCAATGACTATACTTGTCAGATGTTATTATGTGTGCATTACAAGCATTCAGATACGGACATTTGCAAAAGTGCTGCTTCTTTTCATCCTGTGCTTGCTGCTGCCTCCCCCTTCTCGGGGTCTGGTAATTTATGTTGTGGTCCAGGAAGGATGCAGGCACTGTTGGGAGTACTTCACAGAGCACAGCAGAGTGAGTTTTCCACCTGGTACTGGGCTGGGACTAACAGTACTACAGTCTTTGGTGGGAAATTGACACCATGAATGAAATTTACTGTCAGATTCTGACAAAACATTACTTGAAATCTAACAGCTATGTCTGTCTCTTTCTCTCTCCACCCCCCCCCACCCATTCCATTTTTAAGTACAGGGACCTGATCTTAAGAGGGGACCCCACACTAGAGTCCCAGTCCCTCCTTCACACACCTAATATAGAGTAAAAAAAGAAATAAAAAGATGTAGCTGCTAGATGGGATTGGGATTCCATCCCTGGCCAAAAAAGATAATCCAGCAGGACCTAGGAAGTACTTACTACTAGAACTTTTCCTACGCTCTCTTAAAGCTGCTACTGGACCTTAGGGAAGAATCCAGCTGCTACTGGATTAAGGAGAATCCAGGAGCAGGACAGTTTGTGAGTGCTGTCTGAATGGATGCAAGCTTTTGAATTGAATGTTGCAAAAAGCATTTAATCTGAATGTTTATGAAGGTTGACCCCATTCGGATCAAGGCATGGGATGGCTGTCCGTTACAGATTTGTTCATATATGAAAACATTCTGTGATAAACAGTTACTTTCCTGTTGTAACAGTGGAGTGTGTTGGTTGTGCTGGATCACACTAGATGGCACTAGAATTGTTGCATTGAGTGTACTTATAGAATCTAGTGCAGCGGTCCTCAAACATTTTCAATAGGGGGCCAGTTGAAAGGCTGCAGTGACCATGGGGCATGAGCCAGTGAGGTGCCATTGGAATGCGGGAGGCTGCATTGGGCGCACACAGTAGTGGTTCGCTAGCTTGGAGATCTCCCAGCGAGTCCAAAACCATCTCCGAATGAGCAAGCCACCCCCCCACACAAGGCGAACGGTGGCACAGACCAGATGGATGGCCATGGTGGGCCGGATCCGTCCTGCAGGCTGTAGTTTGAGGATCCTGATCTAGTGAATGTGCTATTATGGCTTCTCAGGTCCAGTACTAGAAAGCTAACATTTGTTTGTAAATGATGTTGCCTGCATTATCTTAAACCACATTTATGAAAACCACAGTATTATGATGAACTGTGGTATGGCATTTGAAGTGTCTATTTGCCCCTGATGAATATGCAAAAGATTTAAGCCATGCTATTTGTGATTTTTTTGGTGCTGTTTTTGAAAACAGTAGTTGAAATAAGTGACTGTTGGAAAACATATTTATATTCCTGATTAGAGAAGCCAAACACAAATATTAAGCAATAGTCTGCAAAAGATTTACAGAGCAAAATAAAATCAGAATCAAACACAGAACTCTAACACAGAATCAAAAGCTATGGCTTTTTAACACCTTTGGCAGGTTTAACTAAGATTGTCATAGTTATTTGCATCCCGCCTGTACGATGAGGCCGTAAAATAAGATATTACGTAAATTTTGAATGTGTGTGCTTTCAACAAGGTGGGCAAAGCTGTTGAGAAGCTACTTCCGCAGTTAGTGCTCCTTGGGCCTGAAGAGCAAAGTTGCTTCTGAGCTCATTCAATGTTTGTGCAAGTGAACAGGATTTTACTTTTGTTCTTTCTCTGAAAACATACACATCCATGTCATACACCTACATGGCCTTTGGAATCTGACAGCTCATTGCAACAGAATCAACTCTGCTTTATATTTCCCTGCTTCTCTGGAGCATTTCAGCTTTCTCTTATATAAGTTTTAAAATCCTAAACTATGGAATGCTGTCCCAAATGAGGTCATTTGGTCTCCCTCACAACCTGTTTGTTTCTTCTTTGGCTCTGTATAATCTAGCAATAGTTTTAATCAGTCTTTCTTGTTCATTTAATCGTTATTTTTAATGTCACTGGGGAGAGCATCCCACAGCACAGTTGGGGCCCCCCACTGAGAGCACCCACTCTCTTATTGCCATACTTAGGACCTTCTCAGAGGACACAGAGTAAGGCTGCAGAGGTTGATTTCAGTGTATTGTGGGGTTCAAAAGTTTTGGACTTCAACAACTGTTAGTTTCCTTCTTGCATTACTGCTCTAATTATTATTTTATTGTCATGTTATTTTTTTAATTGTTGTCCACTCTGAAGTAAGCTGCCAGTTGAGTGGCATATGAAAGAAAGGAATGAATGAATGCACACCCACACACACACCCCTCAGCCTGACCCATATTTAAGAATGGCGAGACTTGTAGTTCAAAACAACAGGACAGCACTGAGTTACAGAAGGTCATTTTATCCATTTCTCTATGCAAATATATGTATAAGTCAAATATAAGTTTCCAAAATTGTGCTATCTCCTTAAGCTACAAATTGTTTACCTTACTAAAATATTGAAGTATCCCCTGGGAGTCCTGCAGTGGAGGGGACATGTTTGATCACTGTTTTGCCTGTGATTTTTCAATCCTTAAAGCAGGGCCAAGTGACTTCGCAGCATTCAGAAATGATTTATGTCGAGAAAAAGAGAAATACTGAGGCCAAAGAGGTGCTCATGCCCTCATGAGTTTAAGGTCTGGGGTGTGGACAGCAGGCAACTGTGATAGCTGTGCTGGGACCAGGGTACAGGGGCAGGGCAGAGTCCTGCAGTGGGTTCAGAGGCACATTTGTGTAACCGTCCAGAGTCAAGCCAGGCAGATGAAAGATTCAAACAACACAGTCCAAGATTTCACAGTCTAAGGGTCAAGTTCTAGAAAGACAATAACATGTCTGTTTGAAGCAGGCAAGGTCGGGGAAGAAGGGTACAGATACCTGGGAAGGCCTGGTCAGGCTGGAGCAAGCCAGGCAGGTGGACAGATTCAAACAAGGCACTGTAGGAGCCAGAGAGTGCAGAATCACCAGGACTGTTCATATTGCTGTGGCAAAGAGCAGTTCTGCAAGGAGGCCTTTTATGCTGGCCTCGAGAGCCTCCAGCTGCACTGCATACTTGCTCCTCAGCTGTTCCCTGCGATCACCTGCAGAGGTATTCTTGGTTCTGCAGGCGCTTGGAGGCCTGCACTTAGGCCCCGATCCTGACAATGAGGCTTTTTAGGGTTCGTTCTCTGCTGAAGCCTATTTTCAGCCATGTAGGAACATGTGATTGCACAGCCACATTTTCCTTTGCAGCACAACTTGAGGCTGCCATTGAACCTTGAACCCTGCCTCCAAGGATTCAATTTTAAGCTGTTCATAGTTTAAAACAGGCAGACAAAAAGTCAGTGATTGATCTTTTTGGAGAGCTAAAGATGGAATTATTTAATCTTTGAAATTCAATACTTAGTTGTTGGAGGTGAAAACTATTATTTCCCATTTTTTGATCATATTAGATGAATCGTAGACTATTATTTATAACACCCTGCCCCCCATTTTAAAGTGTTACTTCCTCCCTGTTGCATCTTTAAGAAGTTCCCAGTTGCTTCTATCTGATAAGCCTCCTCTTTATAGATTAGGTGTTCAGGCTTTTCCAGATAACTCTCATAGGCAATTTAAGATCGGGTTATTTTGGAATACTGCAGTCTTCAGAGCTGCCACAAAGCAAACAGATGCTTGTTCTATGAGGCTCAGCTGTATTTTGATTTCCTGCAAGGAATGACTTATTACAAAAAAATTCTTTCACTAGATATTGTGTAGTTCTTATTACATAAGCATCAAATGAAAAAGGGCCAACTCAGATTTGCTTCATTCTTTGTTATGATGTCGCATTGTTGCTAGGTGTAGGACTACTTCGCATGCCTTAGCCTTGGGCTGGATGCTTCGCCAGATTTTTGTCCTCCTTTTGTTCTATTCCATTTCAATGTTAATGCCCCGGAGACTTTACTTAGTTCGCTGGAGTGCTACAAGTTTACACCATGAGTTACGTAAGGCAGCTTTGATTTCATCTTGGTGGTGATTCTTCTGTAGAGACTTTTTTTTAAAGCATTGGTTAATTTGGCTAGAACTGATGTACTTTTTATTAAATCATTTGTATACTTGCTTTCATTTTTACAACCCTTTTTTTACAACTCTTTGCTTCCACTTAATCAACATCTTATGATTGACTGGGTTGTAGGTTGTGACCCAGGCTTGTGAATCTGGAGTGCTGAATTGTTTAGGGGCTAAATGACCTAATGGTTCATTCAAGGTTTGTTGCTGGGTTAATGCCTCTTACTTCCAGTAACTCCCAACAACATGGTATTTAAATAAATAAATAAATATTACTTGTGAATCAACCAGTTGCAACCAAGTTCTGTAAATAAAAGGTTTACTATTTCAGTTCACCCTGCAGTCACCTGGTTATATTTCAGGGAATTGATCTGAGTTTATACGAAGAGAGTCTGTTGCTAGTTTTCACCTAATTTCTAGAATAACCTAATACTCTAATGGCATTGTGCAGGGACTAGTTCTGGATAACTCTCCTGTTCCCACTACCTTCTGGGCAAAGAAATGAACAAATGGTTCTCAACTTAATTTCTTAGCTGCACATGAAAGTTAGCCTTGCCTTTATGTTTGCCTCATTCTACCCACACGATCAGTACTCATTCCTGTTGGAGTGCTGGCAGAGATGTTATTTCTTTCAGCTTATTCATGTAGACAGCTCCTTGGGTGAGCTGTGTACTTGCTTCAGTAGCACACTGTCAGAAGAGATGCCCGTAGAAGATTACAGGCTGTATTTGAAACCAGTGGGTCATCCAAGTTTTCAAGCCTGGCTAGATCTTGCCTTATGTTTTACCTTCAGAAAAGTCTTTCAGGTTTGTCAGCTGCAAAGTGAGACATAGACATTTGCTTGTGAATAAGGAAGGATTCACCAGTGCATTCACTAGCATTCACTAGTCCT